ATGCTTCAGAAAATTTGAAATGTTTGAAAACTTAAAGACATACCTTTACGCACATGCCAGTGTATCTTAAAATTTGAAACAAATGATATGCAAAAGTATTTGCGTAAAATAGCGTAAGAAAAAAAAAACAAAAGTCGCTTCTGGTATAAGAGGCTTGCATGATCAAATGCTGAGCATTGTGAATTAAGTAAATATTCTTTTATTCACAAATTTCTATATGCTTACGCAATTAACGAAACTATTCTTCTTTCCCGGTATACATTAAATTTATTATTGGATTTTTTTTTTAGTTAACATTCTTTGTTACGGTAATCCTTCATAGACTTCAACTTTTTAAAACGAAATCTGAGATGTTTGTGTGAATGTGGTTTATTACTGCGACAGCAATTGCTTGCGGGTAATAGAAGAAAAATTAATTATTACAAAAATATTCTGAAATGAACGCGATGATGATAAGCATTCATACAGGGGGTTTCGAAATAAATGAACGAAACCAAATATTGTGAAAATCATTTCCAAACTTTTCGAGTCTAAATTCATGATTTAACTGTGAAAAACATGCAATTTCAGGTCACGGTGATAGCAAAATATATCGCGGTATCAGGAAAACTACTTCGATTTTGCAAGAATAATTTAATGTTGGTATTTGTTTATTTATTTGCAAATATTCGCTATATATGTGATTATAAAAATTAACTTAAACTTAATTAAATAAAACGAGTAAATATTATTCATCGAGTATATGCGCGGAAAAGTACGGCGTAACAAACCTGCATTTTGCAAACATCCGCGTCCACATCAAGTGAATAATAGTTAGCTTTATAGATTTGAGAAGGCGTGTCAGAACGGATATTGAAAGTAGTGGTTAGTCGTGCAGCATTGCGATAACCTAATGGCCACACAATGCTGGGTGTGGCTATTGGGAATTCACTGGACCATCTCGAGCAGCATATATCGCCCCGTCATCAATTTAATCATAATTAAAACACCTAAGCATCTATTCGCATATAATGCACGTAATCCGTAACAATCAAATAACTTTGTGTAGGTCAGCTCGATTTATTATTTCTGCCATTTCCTAATAATTATTACATGTTATTAAGATAATGGCAATTTCCAGTAGGTAAGCTAGGCTAGGTATTTCCAAACACTCATAAGTGGCAGGTGTGTACTGTTAAATAGAGTAGAAATTTTATTAAATTCTAAGCGGAAAAACTTGTTTTATTGAATATTTAAGATTTTATGTAATTATTTTAGTACCCATAGATATCCATTTCAAAACAAATGAGATTTTACCGCAATAATAAACGAAATAATAGTAAAGTGATTCATATCTAAACAACTTAATGTCGGGCTTAAAAAGCCTTTCTTTCTTTCTTTCAAAAAGATCTTTTAAAAGCGATTTTACTGAAACTATTACATATTAATAAAAAATGCACACACATATAAAACAAGTAAGAAGATTGCATTCGGTCGCAACCGAATCTTTTGTACCCATCAATGCGGTCCTAACGAAGAGGGCGAGAACTTCATTTTGGTACTCTATAATAGCGAATGGGCGTGGCTGATTTTTTTATTTTTTTTTATTTTCAGAATAAAAGTCGAAGTTTATATGATGCATGTGTTGTTGTACTTTATGAGTAACAAGCATAAAAACACAGAAGGCAAAGCTTGTTCATTGTTTTTCTTACACAGACGCGTCGCTGTTGAAGATGCTTGTGGCTTAGTTTGGGGCATTTTCACATTCTTTTGCAAGTTTATAGGCGTTATCTTCATTTATGCGAATGAGAGATTGTTTACCACAAATACTACACAGTTGCGGTCACAGACGGTCAGATGGACGGATGCTTAAGTGCATTCCGAATTTGAAACTGGCCAAGAATTTACCTACTTTATGAGATTTTTGAAGCTTGCTTTTGTGCGGGGTAGAGGTAATGAAAAAAAAAAAATGGGAGTAGGCGTGGCTGATTTTTGTAGAGTTACTACAGCATCGCCCATATAATAAATATATGGCCAAATTTTTGCAAATTTATCGGCTGTCGTTTCTTAGTAAAGAGCAAAAAAAAACAATTCTTTATTCCTTTGAGAAACAGAAGGATCCTCAGTTTACGTAGTACTGTAGGCATGTCCTTCCACCCAAGAGCTTGCTATCTTTCTTGTTAATTTGAAGTCGATCGCTTTTGTTTTTGCGGCCAAGAGAATGTTTACAACGGATATTACACGAACGGGCAGACGGGTAGCCGGACATACATAAATCGACACAGAATTTGATGTTAATCAAGAATATATATACATTGTGGGGTCTCTCTGATGCTTATTTCGGCGCGTTCCAAGCATTCTAACAAAATGAATATACAATGGATATAAAAATGATTTAAGGAAAAAAACTCTTATGTTATCCTTTTTCACTTGAACACAATTTGTCGGATTTAAATAAAACTGAAGAAGGCAGTTAGTTAGTTATCTTCAATACTAAATCTTGCATTGTTTCCCAGCTTTTCTACATTTTCTAAATCTTTTTACTTTGTTCTCTCTTATTGCATATAAAATCACCTGCAAGCAAATAAACAAACATATGCATACATTATAAGTGTGTTTGCTGAAAACTTTTGTTTCCATATAAAATATAATATTTACATATAATATTTACATATAAATATTTAATATTTCTTTCGTTAATGAAATATTTATGATTTCAAAATAAAAAGTCATCCTGTTCAACGTTTGCTAAGCTAAACAAAAATAGACAATAGAGTAAATGACACAAGAAGGAAGAAAAAAAAAAAAAAAAAAAATGAAAATATTCAACTTATCTATAATATTACTATGCATTTGAAAGTGTCAATATTAAAAGTAGAAGCAATGCTTGGGTTCCTACTCATAAAACGAAAAAAAAAAAGTAAGTTTTCCCTTAGCCGAATCATGAACAATCATACATTGAGGTTACGGGTAGCGGTAGTAGTTTCTTTGATTTGTCACATTTGTGTCAGAATCTTTAAAATTTTGAATCAATCGATTACTAAGCATTTCGCGATCACCTATCCGCCTACGCATCGAGGCAAAAACGTTTAGCTTCAAAGTAACTTTATTCTGTGCGTGTATGCGTATATGCTTTTTATTCTTTCTCTCCTTTATGCAATTTTTATTAATTATTGTTATTATTAATATCATTTTTATATAAATTTGTTAACATTTGCTACATGGCATTAACTTGGAACAATGATTATATAAAAACATAAAATTTCCCCAGGATTTCTAATAATCAGCTCTAGCTCTTCTAAAAACATTCATTTCCGAGATAGACCGAAGATCTATTCACTTTAATTTACATCTTTCAGAAAAGTTGGCAGCACTCTTTTCAACAATCACATTTTAAAGTTCATAGCCAAAATTTCGAAAATGCTTAAGAATATCCGCTTTGTGGTAGCAGGATTTGTACATAATGCCAAATTTTTACTTTGTATAAAACGAAATTTGTGGAATGTATGAAACAAAAAACAAAAAAAAAAAAAAACCAATGAAAGAAAACTAGAATGAGATAAAGAGAAATTTGCTTTTTTTAAAAGAATATTTAGATAAAAGAAAGAATAAATTGTTACATAAGTAATTTCTTTATTAAATTTGATTTTTATATCCTACACCACTTGTGGTACAAGGGTATATCAAGTTTTTTTTATCCATGTGTTTTTGATTTTATATATATATATATATATATATATTTAGCTTACATATTTCAATGTAAACTTGCCTGTCTGTCTATTTGTTCGTCTTGTGTCCTTCCGTTCCATCTAGAGATTGCAAGTTTTTGAGACATTTCGATGAAATTTTCCACTTCGACATGTTTCGGGCCCAGCGCGAACATTATTATAAAAGGTTGGCATCGCAACACATTTTCAACCACTTCCCATATGGACAACTTATTTGAAGATTCGTTGATATGAATAGTTATTCATATAAGCGAAGTGATGTAGGGTATTTGATGACAGACCGTGTTCCAATATAATGTTTTTACTTGTTTTTTTATTAACAAAATTTGAATTTTCTTTACATTGTTGTTTTGAAATTTCAAAAATAACATGCTTTGCAAACGTAAGCGACCGACATTTCTTCACCGACATTTTTTGTAGAGTGCGACAAAGGTGAAAAAGTTCATAAAGTGGTACTTATTAGATGGTAAAAAGCGGCAAGTAACGTTTCAAGTGCACCTGTGTGCTCATTCGTGCAGAAAAATACTTTAAAAAAAAATTGTTAATGGGATTGTCTTAACGTGAAAATATTGAAAATCGTAAAGTAAGCGTCTTAATGTAGTATACCCCGGAGTTTATGTGGTAAAATCGTAACATGATAAATTTATTGCAGCATTTCTCTTCTCCAACAACAAATTGACTTTTCCAAATTGCTATCAAGGGAGCTCACTACTATGATCGTGAATAGTGTCCGATTACAAACGGAATTATACGATATCCTATTTGTTGCCCCTCAATCCTTATCACATAAACAATAGTTTTAAAAGAACATAAACAGTTCACGTATATTGACCTTATCGTCCTCCTTGGAGGTGCAGAGGCCTATTTAACTGTTCAAATATTTGATTCCTCCGCGATTTTGAGATTATATTGAACAACAACTCTCTGGACAACCGAGGTACGTGAGATTATTTTCAAAAACCTTAGGCAATGGTTTAGGCAGTATAAAGGTGCACTAATGTAAGTATCTTACATAAATAGAAAGCCTTCTCTACTTGCCCCATATATTTTTAATGTTTGCGGCGACATATTGATATATGGTGTTCCTAGCCCAGCTGTTTTTTTTTTAAATCCGTAGTAACAATAACCCAAAGGAATTACAGAGCAGGGCGATAACTCCTCCGATACATAATTTGATTTTTTTATGGGAAGGTTCTCATCGGCGGGAAACAAAAGGCATAATGAATTCAGCCTGATTTTATTAAAAAGTTAAAGTAGTGTTTGTATGAATTATTGAAGCCTCATTCGTTTTCATTACAATTGATACCGCTTACGTTTTATTTTGTTTGAATACGCAGCAAATATTTTTTGAGTACAAGCAGGTGCTTCATCAATATATTCTATGTCACCTAAAGCATTCACCTGACGTGCCTGCGGTGGTGCAGTTTCTATTGTATTTTCTGCTCGTATAGCGTCCTGACCATCTTGCGGTATAGTGACTTTCGTGGTAGCCACTCGTGCTGGTGCTCTACGGCGGCATACCGATCTTTGTCTTCCAGATGGCATATTTTTCCTACCACCGGCTGCACTTAAACGTAATCTTTTAGTGCCTACAGCAGCAGGAGCAGCATTACTAACTGACGGCTCATCTTCCGACTGCGCTATGTATAGATCAGATAAAGAACTTCCCGTAGAAATAGTTTCATTGCCATACATTTCGTCTAAGTGCGGATTTTTCGATTTCCTTTTTTGTTGCCTGTTATTCAAAAACGTCAATTTATCTTTTGTCTCATTTTTAAGGTTATTTTCATACCACAATAAATCAGCTACCGCCAATAGTTTTTGCTCCATTTGATCGCGCTCATGCTCCACTGCTTCTTTCTCCATTTGTAAGAAGCGGCTTGCATTGAAGAGCTTTCTCGCCGAATCGACTATAGATTGCAAAGAAGCATCCACATCACGTTTCAATTGCTCCGCGCTCTGAACCCTGGCCTCGCATTCTGAACGTAATTTTTCTTGCAACTCTAAAATATTTAAGAATTCCTCTTTTGCCGATCCATCAGTAAGTATTTGTACGAAACGGCGTAGGTCGGCAAACGTGGAAAATGAATTAGTAGTCATTTTTCACAAACTTTTGAAATCTCAAATGGGCATTCGTATAGACGATGAAAGGAAAATAAATTACATTTGCTAAGCCAACTTTGATTCTTTATTTAATTTTATTTATATATACATACATACATATATACAAATAAATGCATTATATATCACATAATTATAAACATATATATTGTAATATCTATGTATATATATATATATTAGTTTGGGGAAAAAGAAATCATTATTTTTATATGAACTTCAGGACTTTATTTAACATGCTTCGGATTGTCCGATTTGGGTCAAATATGTACCGTTTTGTTGTATGATTTGTTGCCATTTTAAAGGTAACTTCAAAATGCCTCTCTCATAGAAGTCCTGGTCTCTATTTGCAAAAAACTCTAGTAGTCGATTTTCACAATCCTCCCTAGATTCCAATTTTTTATCATTAAAGAAATTTTGCAATGCAAGAAAAAGATGATAATCGCTTGGTGGCAAGTCCGGACTGTATGGCGGATGCATTAAAACTTCCCAACCAAGCTCCCGAAGTTTCTGGCGACTCACTGTAGATGTGTGTGGCCTAGCGTTGTCCTGGTGGAACACGACACCTCTCCTGTTGGCCAATTCTGGCCATTTCTGGTCAATCGCTATCTTCAAACGGTCCAGTTGTTGATAGTAGAGATCAGAATTTACCGTTTGGCCATATGGAAGCAACTCATAATAAATAATCCCCTTTCAGTCCCACCAAATGCATAGCAAAACCTTCCTGGCCGTTTGAGATGCTTCACCGCTCTTTGACCACGGTCGTATTCGCACAGGGTTATCGTATGTGATCCATTTCTCATCTCCAGTCACCATCCGTTTACGAAATGGGTCTATCTCATTCCGTTTAAATGCCTATTATATTCAGTTGATTAGAGTTCACCATTAGAATAAGAATACCCAATGTTAAAATAGCGTATATAATTAAACTGCATAAATATATTTTATCTTATTTTATTTCCCTTAAAGTATTGGAAAAGTGTTGGAAAAGACTCTATAGTCTTACTGATGCGGCAATTATAGTAAATAATTATTATTTGTATAACTTTATTATTTTGAATCAACTATTAAAGCACAAAATGAATGAATTAAAGCAATCCTGGGTAACATTAACTTCAGTTCAAAGTATGATATACTAAAGCCAGAGGTCAGTAAATGACAAGATGTCTCATGTTGTCCAAAACACAATCGAGTAAAACCTCAGGAACTTTTGGTGTTTCCATTATCAATAACAGTAGTATGCTGTAAGCGAGTAGATATTTGACTGCTTGTTCGTTCATTCTCAATATTTGTGTGCCCAAGAATTCTGTTAAACTGTTATGCCGTATTAAACGTTTACAAAACAGAACTGCATATATGTAGATCAAATATATGGTATGGTATACATACAAACGTGGATCTATGAAAAAAGGTAAAAAGTAGTTGAAAAATAGATGTGTAGCAAATGTAAGTTTGTTTGCTTTTCATCGTTTATATTACACTGAAGAATTCTAAACTTTTGTTTATAAATTAATATATATAAAAATAATAAGTAAATTAAATAAAAAGTAAATTTTTCTTATAAAACAACTTTTTTATACCCTACATCAGTTATAGTACACGCGTATATGAAATTTGTGCGAGTGTATACTATACCCAGAAGAATATGGTAAAAACAACCCCTCATTATAGAGGGCGCTTCAGAAACACTTTCTGAAAGTTTGTCTTATTTTGTCGACGTATATTTCCATATTCAACCTATCGATCGCAAATTTTTGAAAAAAATTATTAAAAAATAATAAACCGACAAAAAAAAAACGCCTAAAATACTGAACCGATGTTTCTTCGCCCAAGGACGACGAACGCTATTGAAATTGGTGCGAATTTAACCACTTCTTCGTCTACTTCTCGTATAACGGCTTAGTTTGAAAATATTTTATATGAATAACTGTATTGAGCCAAGTGGTATAGGGTAATATAGTGTTACTACATGTTTTAATCATAAAAAATGTCTTCACATTTCTTCATAAAACATATCTTTTACTGTAATTTATGAAAATATTTTGTGAACATAAAAAATTTACAATCCTTCGATATGAATAAATAAAATTTCCTGAGATTAACTTGCTTGCTGTATTTTCAACAAAATGTTAGAACATCTTGTCATTTAATTGTCTCTGATTTTTTCAACCACACTGTTTATTCTCGTTTCTGTTCCGTAGACTTAACAATTAGTTGCACATGGTATAGGAATTTAATAGGAATTGAGGCAAATAAATCGTTGTGACGACATCTTTAAATCTTTGTGGCTTCTTTTACGTGGTATTACTAACTATATGAATTCATTCAATAGTTGAATTTGTATAACTATACCATACAATAGTTCAATTAACAATTTATATTATATGCGTTGTCATTAATAGTAGCAATTTGTTTAATAATAGGAAAGATATATATATATACATATATATAGGTTTAGGTCATGTGTGTGATGAAGATTTTCCCTCTTTCGTACTTGCAAACGCACTTCAGTTAAAAGATCAATGTAAATAAAACGATTTAAGCAATAGTAGAACAACAAAATGCAACTTTTTACTCAATTTCTTATATTAATATGTGTTAAGTATATGATATATATTTCATATATATTTTATATATTTTGTATATGTATTGTATTCTAAAGAGGAAAATAGAAATATGTATTTCTATGTAATTTTATGTATATAAGTCAACATGTTATGTAATGTATGATAAATGCTCAAAATGAAAATTTGAATATATGCTCGCACGCATATGTAATGCGTACTTATTAGGAATGAGTGAATACGTTTATGCAGGCCTTGTAGTACAGAGTAACTCCCTTATGGGTTCATGTAAAGCTAATACTTTAGCATAGAAACGGTATCGTAAATTCTAATAAGAGTAACCTAACGTATGTTACGAAAACTTAACGCATGAATATATACAGGTTTGCTGTGCATATGTTCTTGTTGTCCTGTAAAATGAAATGCTTAAATGTGGGCGTATCTATGGCTACGTAAAAAAATGTGTGACACTATTCTACACTCGCTTACTTACATACCATAACAAGTAACGTTTTTAAAATTTGACTTACGAATGCTATAAATCTTTTAACATCACACCCATAACGATACGTTTGTCTTTTATACGCTCATAGTGACTTCCGTATATTCTGTTTAAACACTTTTACAAAAGTATCCGTAAGATAAAAACGCCATTTAATTGCATAAATAAATTCATACATATATATATATATGTATTCGAAGGAATTTCCATATGATTTTTGACAGAGATAGAACTTCATTAGATTGAATTTATATGAATAAATGAAATGGAAATTGTTAATATATCTACACTTATCAGAACTTATAACTTTGTTGACATTAACTTCACCGGCCGCAGTTTGATTCAGAAACACGACAGAACACTGACACGTAATAGTTATAAAATCTATTTTCAAAACAAAATGTTTTTGTATCCGCAAGTAATTGTGTAAAGTAAGTTTAGAAATACGCATATAACTGAAATTTTGTGTAAATAACGGCACCTCATTTTAATAAGGATAGATATCAAAAGCATTTTACACGTAATTGTTATAATTAATTACGTAAATAATGAGCATAAAACACATAAACGTGCACGCGCTTCTAAATAAATATAAAAACATATTATAACGTAATGGGATTTACGCTCCACTTATTTTTTTCATTTTGTCAAATTATTATACTTAAAAGGCGCTTTGAACTCGTTTATCTTTTTGACGCAAAGACATGTGCTAATAAGCACTTCAGTACATGCATGCAGAGACAATCGTGCTTCGTAGCAAAAATAAATAAAACCAAGTAGAAGATTTTATTCGGATAAAGTCGACTATAAATGATATGCATCGTTTCGCTTAAAGCGAAACCTTAATTAATCTTTATCCTATTTGCCATACGGAGACCTACTTTTCATGGAAACCCTTACATGCAAAAGGGACTCAAAATAGGCACTTGTGCACTCAATACTTATGATAATTAATTTTGTAAATCATATCATTATAATTTATCAATTTTTATTATAAAATTCCAAAATTAAATCATTTTTACCATATCAAGGATGTTTGTGAACGAGTTTTGTAAAAACGAAAACTTTAAAACGTGAACCCCTTCCAACTTGCCCACATCCATTTAGTTTAGTTTTCACTGATTTTAATTAAGAAATGTTTTCAAAAAGTATTTCTTCTCTGATCAAATCGAGTCAACGTATTAAACTTCATCGTATAATATCAAAAATTGCTGTTTGTGGGCTAAAATATACGGGGAATATTAGCCAGGCGGAGGGAAAGAAAGAATTAAATCTATCCAGAAAATCAATTTTAATTGGCGAGTACAACAAAAAGCGGGTGTCTTCCATGAAATTCACCCATTTTATTAATACTTCTTAAATATTAAAATTATAAACGTCGTTCCTGTGAGTTCATATTTCTGTAGGTTGAAAAATTCAATTAAGGCATATTGAAAAAAATGTTAAGAAATGAAAAAAATACATGAAAAAATTGAATACATATATAAAGTAATATATATATATATATAGCCATAGTCGAGCAAAGTAGTAAGTAATCCGTAACTCCATTAAAATGCTTAACAAAGAAAATTCCGTTTTTATATTAAATGCAATAAATTCTTCCACAAAAAAATTTCGATTTTAAATTCAACGCAATTAATATTTTCCACCTGGTGGCGTTTCAAAAAATGTACGACTTTTCAAAGTCCTTTTAGACGGCGCGGCATATACTGAGTTCACTAAATCCTTGGGGTACGTAGTAAATTTGGCAAGTTTTCAGAATTCTCTTGTTCTGTTTCCAAAGACACGTAAGGAATCAAATGTCTATTGGAGATTTTTAAAAGGTGCTCCATAATTGCATATTGTAAATAAATTTAAGCCAATAAGGCATCCTCGTCAAGGTCATCTGAAAGCTTGCCAAATATAATGGGTGCGAA